TGATCCTAGAGAAGCTAAATAAGAAGGTGAACCCAAAGAAAAACATATTGTTACCCGCCTGGATATGGGAAGTAGACAAGATTGCCGGGCAAAAACTGGGAATTTGGGCGTGGGTTGGGATGGGCGTAAGAGGAATTGGGGTGAGAAAAGTGAGAAGGGGAATGGGATGGTTGGGATAAAAGAAGGGTGGATGCGGGAGCAGTGAAGGATGTATCTTAATTAAGGGAGCCATCTTAGGGTTGACAAGAGACTTGACTCCAGAGGGGCTCGCAGGTGTCCAGGGTAATGTCCCCAGCTATTTTCTTGGGCAATTCAGGAGAGGGAACCTGAAATGACCCTATTTTATTGCCATACTGATGAATATCTTGCATATCACCATAGAATTTTCATCTGGCGATGGATGGGATAGCGACAGTGACCTACATTGGCGCACTGGACTGAGCTCCCAAGGTCCAAATGAGGAACAGAAGGAGGGAGAACATGAGCAAGGAAGCCAGGACTGCGAGGGGTGCACCCACCCACTGTGACAGTGGGGCTGATCTATTGGAAGGTCACCAATGCCAGCTGCACTGGGACTGAATAAGCATGGGACAAAACCGGACTCTCTGAACATGGCGGACAATGATGGCTGATGAGAAGCCAAGGACAATGGCACTGGGTTTTATCCTACTGCATGAACTGGCTTTGTGCGAGCCTAACCTGTTTGTATGCCCACGTTCCTGGACCTGGATGGAAGGCGGAGGACCTTGGATTTCCCACAGGGCAAGAAATATGGACTGCATATCAGACTGGAGAGGGAGGGGGAATGGAGTGGGGGTAAGGTGCGAGGAGTGCGAGTAGGGGGAGAGGAGTAGAGTGGGAGGAGGGGAAGGGAAATGGGAGGCGGGGAGGAGGCAGAAATTTTTTCAATAAAAAAAAAATATCCCGGGGTAATTCTAACCAAGCAAGTGAAAGGCTTGTGCAATAAAATCTTCAAGTCTTTGAAGAAACAATTGGAGAAGACATGAGAAGACGGAAAGATCTCCTATGCTGATGAATCAGTAGGGTTAGCATAGTAAAAACAACATCCTTCAAAAGTAGGCAGAAATACACACTAGGAAAAAAGACAGCATCCTCAATAAATGCTGCTGGTCAAATCGGATGACTGCAAGTAGGACAGTAGCCAGGTGGAATGGGTTCCCAGCTGGAACAGACTGGACCTAGTCCTGACTGTATCCTGGAGGGTAAGCCTGCCCTCTAGTGTCTGGGAAATGAAGCACAGGTCCGTCTCACCTGTAGAGAAGGGCATAAAAGCTTCAATTTTCTTCAGAGCCCCACTGGCATCCAGGAAGTGGTCAGGATTGAAGGCATCTGGTTGTTCAAAGTATTGAGGGTCATGGAGAGCTGTACTCAGGATGGGGTACACTTCAGTGTTCTAGGAGACAGTGTGAGAGACAATATTAGCATACCTTGACTCCCATAAGCAGACAGTTAGTCTTTAGGGAACCCCAGAATGCCGGGAAACCACAAACAGGCCAAGGGTGGTGATTGGGAGAGTGGAGGATGACAATGGCAGAGATGTGGAATCGCAGCTGGTCTCACCTTGGGGAGCAGGTACCCTCGGAACAAAGTGTCTTTGGTGACTTTGTGTGGCACTCCAATTGGGAGAATATCTGCAAATCTCTGGATCTCGCGAATGACAGCCTCAGTGTACGGCATTTTGGTACGGTCATCAAGGGTTGGTGGGCGGTGTGAGCCAATCACCTGATCGATCTCCTTTTGGACTTTCTCTGCACAGAAAAGGGAGACAGCAGACAATGCTTGCCCCCTTCACGAAGGCAATGCATAGTGACCCTGTTTTCTGTGAGCCATTAGTGTAGGAACAATAAAGAGCCAGGAGACACTGCTGAAAAGACACACTGCACTCTTGGACACACACCTGCGCTTCTCTCAGGCCTGTGTCTCTACAGCCATGCTTAGAGCTATGTTAGAGACTCTTTTAGAGCTATGTTAGAGATGCTCTCCAAAGCTCCCATCATGATCATAAAAGAGAGAAAAGGAAAACCCACAGCAAAGGGCTATTTTCATCTATCAATCTGAGTGAGGGCTGGAGGGGAAGATTGTAAGAATTCTCTGCATTTGAAATGTAATGTTATAATTTGTGTTCTTTCATAACAGACACTGGAGAGAAAATGTCTCAGTGGTTAAGAGCACTGGCTGCTTTTGAAGAGGACCTGGGTTCAATTTCCAGGACCCTCATGGCAGCTCACACTGTCTGTGACTCTGGGTCCAGTGGATACAACATTTTCATACAGACATATATGCAGACAAAACAGCAATGAACATTAGTTAAAAAAATTAAAAATACAGGCTAACAATCTGAGGCTGTATCCTCAGGAATAAAAGGGAAGTAAATTAATCTATGAATAACAAAATACAGAATGTGAACACATTGGTGAGTATATTGACCGAGGAAATGCATTGATTTTTATCCTGACAGCCTGGCTTTGACATCAGAACCCACGGGAATGTGCAGGGAGACCCAACTGCACCAAGTTGTCCTCCCATCTCCACACATGAGACACAGCAGACAAACTCACAACAACATCACATCAATTTCAAATTCTTTGGATGTGAGTGTGTAAGTCAGCCAAGTGATCAATGGGTTGGTTAATAAAGGAAAGATTGCTGAGTGAGTGAAATGAACAAAGAAAAAGTGGATGTCCATATCCCACTTCTCATCCATTGTATTAATCAATTAAGAAGTCAATAAGTGGTGCAAACACAAATAGATCAATGGGTACAACCAACCAAGGAATGGATTGACACATGAAGAGTGAATTCAAGGCCAGTGGGAAGGAATAAAGAATGAGAAGATTTGTATATGAATGAACCAATGAATCAATGAAAGAGAGCCTGCTCAACTAGCCATGATAAAGAATAAAACTCACAAACTGATTCATCCAAAAAATTAATGAAATATATGTCATTGAGTCAACTAGAGATGAAAGAATCAAGGATTAATAATCTATGAGTATAGAGAAGATGGGCAGAGGATTACATGTGTGGGCGAACAGGTGTGTAGATAAAAAGTGAATGAAAAAATTAATATATGCATGATGAGATAATGGTTGGAACATGAATAGAATACCCATAGATGAACAGGTGGATGGGCAGTAAGATGAGTGAGTATCAGCTGGATGCAAAGAAAGAGAGAAGAAAGGAAGGAAGGAAGGAATGAAAGAAAGAAGGAAGGAAAGAAGGGGAGAAAGAAAGGATAAACAGATGAATCAACCTTCAAGTTATAGCAGAAAACAATGGAAATGGACCAGCTGAGTGTTCTTTCACACACCACCCACAGCACTGCCTTAGGTTAGAATAGACCAAAGCCTTCAGAGTGCCAGATGTAAGAGGCTCATGTCTTTTTCATCCTCACAATTTTCTGCAGAAAAAGGAAGCTATAAGATTTCCCAACTGGCCACAGGTGGCTCACCTGCTACATGGGGGTATTTGAGCAGGAGCAGGAAGCCAAAGCGGAGTGTGGTGCTGCTGGTCTCGGTGCCAGCAAAGAAGAGAGACAGCACGGAGAACATGAGGTTCTGGTGATGGAACTCCGTGTGTTGGTTGGACTTCTCCTGGTTCCAGATGGGAGAGAGAAGGGAGGGTCAGGGGTGACTGGAGCCTTGCAGGGAGATGCACACACATCCTGGGAACTGTCCTTCTGTCTCACTATCTGGACCATCTGGCATTTCTCAGTCCTCAACAATGTCACTTGGTTTCTGCTCTGTCTTCTCTCTCTACTGTGCTCTCTGGTAGGTTAACATGGCTTGTCTCCCAGGCTCTTTCTTTCTCTGAGGTCTTTCCTGCCTTTTGTCCCTCACTCTGTTTCTTCCCCACCCTTCTTTCTCCATATCACATTTTCACTTCCTTTTTATTTTCATCCTTTTCCAGATGCTTCTACATCTCCTCCACTCCATTTCTTTTTTTTTTTTTTTATTTGCGGGAAACTAGACACTGCAACTTTTATTTAGTATCGGCGGCGTTTATTTGGAGCAAATTCAGCTCCAGGAGCTGGACGGTTGAAAGCAGGAGGATTTCCACCAATTGCTCCAATTCCTTCCATTGTAGCAGCTTGGCCGAAACGTTCAGTTGTTGGTGGGATCAATCCCAAAGTTCCATCTGGCATCATAGTGGCAGGTCCTGGAGGAGCTGGGGTCCCAGTTGGCACAGGAGCAGGGGGCATGGCTCCTCTATTGTTTATGCCCATAGCACCTCCCATAGCCATTTGGCCCATCTGTATCTCTTGTTCTCTTGCATCAGGGAAGGTTCCCTTGAATCCTTCCTGCTGTCGCCGCATCATTTCTTCTTGTTGCCGCCGCATTTCTTCCTCACGGCGCCTGCGTTCCTCCTCCTGCCTGAGCTCTAGCTGCTTTCGTTTCTTAACCTCTTGGTTATGCAGCTCCTCCATTCTCCGAAGCTCTTCTTGACGCCTCGTCAAATCCTGCCTCATTAGCATAACCTGGTGCTCATGGCGTGCTGCCTCCATCTCCATCTCCAGCTTCTCACGAGCCTCCTTGATGTTGCGGTGGTCCACTTGATCCTGCTGTTGCTTCTCCGTCTCAATGAGTGCCTTCCAGCGCATGGCATACTCATACTCAAAGGACCCTGGCTGTGCAAATCTGGGTGGTTGTTCTCGCTCCTTGTGAAATTGCTGGTTTTTTATAACCAGCTTCTCTGGAAGTCCCTCTTCATCATCTAACTGGTCCATAGGTTCCACAGTCACAGGCCGAGGAAATGTGGTTAGCAAGAAGGAGCCTTCACTGCATCTGTCCAGAGCTTTCCGAGCAGCTGGTTTCCCTGAGAACTCAACAATGCCTTTCCCTGAGGGCCTTCCTCGGTCATCCACAATGACCACAGCCCTCTCCACCTGGCCAAACACAGAAAAGGCTTCTTCCAGCAGTTCGTTGGACACATACTGAAGAAGGTTGCGGACTGTAAGAGATGCACTATGACAGGCAAAGCGCACACGTAGCCGCTTTCCACGTAGTGGCATATTATCCAACTCCACTTTGGCAATTTCCGCTAGGGTTCATGTTTCCAAGCGAATAAAGCCAAAGCCTTTATCCTTATGAATGAAAACCTAGCCTGCTTTCCCATATTTCTCAAAAAGCTTCCTCATTTCCTCCTCAGTGATGTCAGGAGGAAGATTGCTCACAAAGAGACGGCTTCGTTGGGTGAAAGTCTTCTCTCCTGGTTTTCTAAAGTTCTTCAGGTCAATGGTTAAACCTTCATTCTGGCTGCTGGCCTGCTGTCCATTTGCAGGTATTGGTGGGGGTGGTTGCTGCTGCTGCTGCTGCTGCTGGTGCTGCTGGTGGTGATGTTGATGGTGCTTCCTTGGAGTATGGTTCTGCTTCTCCAAGTTAAAGGTTTTATTACTCTGCATGTTTGCACCCTTGACTTCGATTTGAGCACAGCAAAGTGTCTGTCTCCCAATCCTAACCCCGACTTCCTCTGCCCACAGTTCTTTGCTCAGAGTCCTCCACTCCATTTCTTGTCTCTCCTCCCCATCCTCTGCTCCCTTTTCCTCCATTCACATCCTCAGCCTTCACTATCAGCCATCCCCTCTCATTGACGCAGGACTTACCTTCTCCATGCGTAGAAGGTAGGTATCGATGAAGTCTCTAGGATTGTTGGGGTCCAAGGTTTCCCGGTGCTTCTCCAAGCTGTGGCGAATATAGTGAAGGACTTCCTGCGTGTTTTTGTAGATTTGTCGGTGGGCACCAGGAAAGAACTTCAGGAAACCTGAATAGAGCTCAAACATCTGCAAGAAAGAAGGACTGAGGAGGTCACCTGGAACTAGCAGATCTCAGAAAGTAAGCAGTGCTCCTAGGTCCACAGATGTCGTGAAGGAACGGACACACACACACTCTCCCACCCGCCCACACTCACACATATCCACCCACATACACACCCCTCTCATACATGCACACCAAACATACACGTGCCTTGAACTGTATCTTCAAATCAGTCTCTAGCCTTCATTTTACATTCTCCGTGTGTCCCTTTTCTCCCCTCTGCTCTCTCTCCCAACCCCCCTTGCTGTTTTGTCTTAATTTGTGGGGTATTGTATTTTGAACACATTAATGCCAGGCAGGTTTTAAATTCAACATGTAGCCTAGGATCAGCCAGAATTTCTGATAGCCCAGTCTCTAACACCAAAAGGCTGGAATTTGATGTGTTGTACACTACCAAGTCCTGGGGATGAACTCAAAGGCTCATACATGAAAGACTGTGTCCTTTGTCCTCTAAGGTAGAGCTGCATCCCCCACGTCATTTTCTCATGTCTGGATGGCTCTGTATTTCTGCATTGAAGTCTCTCCACCCTGCTTAACATCCCTCTCTCCTTCTGTTCCTCCTTCATTCCGTCCCTCCAGGTCACAGACTCCTTGCTTTTCCATGTTGTCTATCCTTCTTTCAGCCATAAGACACTCCCTTCTACACTCACAAGGAAGCCTTTTCTTTCCTCTGCCTTGGATGCGCCTCTCTTCCCACCCACTGACCTGGCCAGAGAATGAGCTGGTGAGCGAGAAGATCTTATAGATCAGGTCCAAGAGACGCAGGAACTGGCGGTCTTTGTAGTCAAAGCGCTCTCCAAAGACAATGGAGCAGATGATGTTGGCTGTGATGCACTGGAAGATGAAGGTGGGGTCCAGGGGGGCTCCTGAAAGAGAATACAGGAGAAGAGACAGGGAATACAGAATTAGGGGAGTATTTGGCTTCAGCCCCATCTCTGTAAAGCTGTCCCCACCACTCACTGCTCAAGTTACAGCAACACATTTGCACATATGTTGCACATAAGAGTCTGGGCTCTTCACTCAGAGATGCATGCATCCTTTTATTTAACTTCCCTCAGTACTGTACAGAATATGGGATGATATTTCTATATACAGAAAGGGATACACCTTCACCAAGGAAGCTCAGCTAATCATGGCTGAAACATGGCTGCAATTAGGATTCTAGGAACAAGATGTGGAGTGAGTGCAATTAGTCTGCACCTGCTCCTCCTCCCAGGACAACATACTGACTCTGAACTGACAGCTAACTGCCACTGGAAGGAATGGTGCTCAGAAGGGTTCAGCGATGGCTGTGTGAATTACAAGCCCTGTACAATCCATACCCATCTGCCGGTTTTCCTCTATTCCTTCTTAACTTCCTCCATCCCTTCTCTAAATTCCTCCATCCCTTCTCTGACTTCCTTCATTCCTTCTCTGACTTCCTCCATCGGTTCTCTGACTTCCTCCATCGGCTCTCTGACTTCCTCCATCCCTTCTCTAAATTCCTCCATCCCTCTCTTCTCTCACTTCTGAGCTCTGTGGTTTCCCAAAAGCCATCAGCCCCTGAGTCTTCAGCCTTTGTGTGCCAGGTTCAGTCATGGACCCTGGCAGTTGGAGGATGGTTGTTGGTACAGCAGTATTGGGTTACTCTTTCCCTTTACCCTGAGACTGGTTTGTCTCTGATCCTATGAAAATAGTTTCTTGGAGCTCAGAGCTTCACTCTTGGTTCCTTTCCAGCTTGATTATCAGCTTGTTTCTCTTCCTCTGGGTTCCTCCCTCACTGCCTTATTTCTCTCATTATTTTTCTCACCATCTGCACCTTTCTTCTCTCCCCTCTCCACACTGAACTCTCAGCACTTCTGAGAAAGATCAATAAGAAATAGCAAATGCCTCATGTAAAGAAATGGAGGTGCAAGTAACAGTCTTGTAACCAGTGTGTCCTTAATATAACAAACATAAAGAACCCTCAGAGTACCTCTGATTTTTTTCAAAAATCAAACTCCCATGAGCCTCTGTGCTCATTGCTGCTCAGCAGCACACTCACAAGGAAGAAAACACAGTTCCCTGCTGCGCCCATGTCTGTAGGTCCTCCTGATCCCTTCCCTTCATTGACTTAAGGTCTGTGTTTGCCTTTGATGAGATCGTGGAGGGGGACAAGGATAGGGAACAATTACAATGATTAAGTCAAAATGGTTTTGAACACCTTGTGGAGTAGAAGAGAACCTTGGAAATCTCATCCTCCTGCCTCCACTTCTGGAGTGCTGGGATTACACACATGCAGGACCATGCCCACTGTATGTGGTGCTGTAAGCTCTGCACAACTCAGCCACAGCCACATCAAAGGCAGGACCTCACATTGTAGACAGGGCTGGCCTTGAGCTCATGGTCATCTTGCCTCACCTTCTGAGTTCTGAAAGGGTGAGTGTCCACCAAAACTATCCAATTGACAAAGAGAATTAATTCACAGATTGATTTTCTGAAGAGAAGTGACCACCATGGGCAGTACGTGCTTCTGAGTAATTTTGGAAACAAAATACCTCACGTTTCTTTCCTGTCCTTGTAATTCTCTTCCCACCTCTGTCCTTATCTCATCCTTCCGATGTCCGTGTATGTGCATGTGTGTGTGCATGTGTGTGTGTGTGTCTGTCTGTCTGTCTCTCTGCTTTTGTCTTTCTCTTTCTTTGGTTCTGCACTCAGGTCCTGTGTCACCATTTTCCTTTCTGCCCATTCTCTGGGACTCACCCTGGGATTTCCGCAGCTCCTCTACCAGACATCGGGCCTCCTCCTGCATCCGCTCCTCCACACTCCTCTTGCCCACCCCTAAGTCCTTCATGGTGGCCAGAGAGAATCGCCGAAGGGTCTTCCAGCGTTCTCCATTAGCAAAGATCACACCTAAGAATGTAGGGGAAGCCTGGCTGGGTTATAATAGAAGTTCAAAGACCCTGAGTCCTTCCCCACAGCTCAGGCTCCACCTCTCACCCACATCTTCCCAGACCACATCTTCCACTTCACCGTGTCCCGTATCTCACCATATCCCTGTATAATTGGGTCAATCACAGCAACTGTCCCCCGGCCAGAGAAAGCCTCAGCTTGGTCCACCAGAGCCTCCCTTATGGCCTCTGTCCCACACAACATGACCACGGGCCTCGGTCCCAGGTGCACTGTGAACACGTCTCCATATTTTTCTCGAAGCTGCCAAGATAAGGGCGCGAGGGTTGTGGTTAGTCAGTGCAGACGTTGTTGTTTCACTGTGAAAACACCTAGACACAGACTGGTAAATAGGTATCCCTCCGCTGGCCACCCTTTCTCTCCTGAGGACCTAAGAGGTGAAGGTTAATTCACCAGTCTCACCTGCACACGACCCTATCTCAACAATAATAGATACAGATGTAGATGCAGATGTGCATTAGTTCCATGCCCATACTCTTCAGTCTGGCCAGGTGAACCATGCTTCCTGCAGTCCAGCTTCAGCCTGTCCAATGCCTCCTGACAACATTCACTGAGAACGGCCCTGACCCACCCACTGGGTTACATGGGAAGGAAAGTGATAGTCACCTAGTAGTGGTCCTGAATGTGATTCATAACTGCAGTACGAACAGTTGGGAAAATGCCTGGCAATGCAACCATCAGGGCATCTATAGGTTTTTGGTCCCAGGAACATGACAACCCTCCAGTGCTGAGAGCTTTTGAGGAGCATAGTGCAATGTTTGCAAACAACTCTCCCTTGTTGTTTTTTAACCTTTACTCTCTCTAGATTGCACTGCAGCTAATAGAAATGGAAGAGTGTGTAAATGGTCAGTGCCCAGTGTTATTTAGGGGACAATGCTAAGAAAAAGCTCTGCATATGTTTGATGGCGATGTATTTATGTTTTAGATGGGGTCACAGCATCGAATCATATCCAACAATGAATGAACAAGCCTCAGATCAGACCAACAGTGTAAGTGAAACTTGCCAACTTTATGCTACACAAAAGCAATTTTTTTTCCATCTGCTGCATCTAAATGATGTTCCAACAGAGCTGCAGGTGGTGGTGTGTCAGGATATTGGGAGGTAGTGACTAGAAGGAGCTGAGACAGGAACTAGTCTCGATATTCAACATAGGAGATAAGAAAGTGTTCATCGTTAAAATTCATGGATGTGGGAGGCGCTTTGTTTACGAGCGACCCAACCAGCACAGAGAGCTGATCTTGGCACTAGGAGAACCATCTCTGGTGTGAGTGAGTTTCTGACCCGCAGCAGCAGCCTGGGACAAGGAACTACTTCCTGCAGGGCCTATACTCCTGCAAATTGCCTCTCTCTTCCTATCTCACCCAACGTGCATCCAGAACCCTCCCCACTTCTGCCTTCCTGCCGTCTTTGGGCAAATAACATCACCCAGCTCAGCCTGTCTGGGCGCTGGGATCGAATCCAGAGGGCAGCCAATTTCTCTGTTTCAATAGCCGCCTGCAGCAAGCAAGGTAGGTGCTTTGTTTACGAGCTACCCAACCAGCACGGAGATCGGATCTCGGCACCAGGAGAGCCATCACGGGAGAGTGCCGTCACTGAGAAGGTACATCACTGGGCAAGGAGACCTGATCTTGTAAAAGAAGATCCTTAGGGGAGCATTCGGAGGAAGAGATGGGCAGGCGCCAATGCAAGAATTCACCCAACAATCTGAAAAACAACATGAAACCACCAGAACCCAGCGACTTCACAACAGGAGGACATGAACACCTTAATCAAGAAGACATATAAAAAATGGACTTTATGAAAGTG